GGGGTCGGGCGTGTTGGCTTGGGGCTTCTATAGGGGGTCGGAGACGACGCTGGCCACACTCAGCTGCAGAAAGCCACGCTGCAAGTGTCGTGTAGGCGAAGACTGCTGGAGCATGGTACGCAGGTTCTTGGTGACCGTCCGGATCCGCCGCCGGAACGCCCCGCCGCGAGTGAGGAGATTCGTGGTGGACATAGCCAGACCCGCGAGCGAGTGGGGAGATTCGTGGCCGCCCTTGGCCCTCTTGCTGAGATTTGTGAGGGACCAGCTGAGAATGCTTCGTAGAAGACGAGGTAAGAAAGGCCCACAGCCATCGGGGCAGCTTGTGATGTGACTTAGTAAAGAGAGTTGAGAAATACACCTTAACCAACGGAGAGACGGAGTGGGAGTGGGGGCGAAGGGAGAGGGTGGTCGGCTAACTCCTACCCAGAAAATTGTAAGGTGATTTCAGGATCTCCTTGCCTCCCCACCTGCTCCACACACCCTCCGATTGAGAGGATTGGAGGGGCTAAAGAAAGGGGCTCCGGCCTCCAAGTCTCGAGAGAGCCTGGGCCTGGAAGCAGCAGGGATACAGCCGCCTCCGCCCCAGCCTATTCCTGCTCGCCTAGGTCTGGAGCCCCTTTGGTTAAGGTGGCTTTCCAACTCCAGTTCCTTGGCCCAGGGTTGGAAATGATTTGCTACCCATAGTCCCATAGTTTTAGTTTTCTGGAAGTCCCATCTCTTCTCCCCAGCAGGTCCTCCCTCTGGCCGTCCAGAGCCATGGAGGCGGCTCGGGAGCGTGGGGGCACATGCATTTGACTTCCCCAAATACCAAGAGTGATGGGAGGATCAGTAAGTGCTGCTGCGAAGAGCAGACACTTGCTTCTCAGGGACAGAATCGTGCAGCCCTTAGATACAGGGCCCTTGGGTGGGGAGAGACAGGTTTCGGATTTGGCGGCCAGAGCAATTCAAACTGCTGGGTCCGACGCTCCCCGTACGTTTAACAGACCCCAGAACTACAGTAAAATCCCAAGTGAGCAAATTTTCATCATTTTGGGCCACAGTGAACACTTTTTTAAAAAACTGAGGCCTACTCTTTAAAAACAAAAGCTCAAGTAGTTTTGTCCTCATTTCAGATTAATCTGCACCCGGTCCGTGTAATTCCCAACCATGATATTTGGGGGGGGGGGGGGGGGGAAAGGCAGTTACAATATGCAGAATCCTAATTCAAATTTGGATCATAAGTATAAAAAATAATTTAGCAAGGTTTCACTTTTGTAACTTTCCGTGTGAAATCCTGTCCCCCATGAATCTTCAAAAGACTAAGGCCAGGGAGGGAAATACTGTTTTTGTGGCAACATTTCTGTGCTTTTTGACATGGAAAAATTTAATTATAAAAATAATCAGTGCTTCATTTGGTGCCTCAATTTCGGTTAGCCAAAACCTATGTATAATTTATAGGATAAACACACATATTTCCCCATATGATTCTGAAAGTTCAATTTTTTAAAAAAAGGAAAAGGAGATTATAAAAGATTTTGGGTGAGTCCCTGGATTTTATTTTAGTTTCTTTTGAAACGTTAATAAGGCCTTGTTTATTCTTTAACTGGTCCTTTATCAATGCCAGCAAACATTTAGCCACTGTGATCTATAAATGCTTGAATATCATAGTTGTTGGAGTCCTAGTGTGGAGTTGTTGGTTAATGTGCTGGACTTCAAAGTCCGCTTGGATCGCAAGGCCTGCGGCGGTTCAAGCACACCAGCTGCTCCTCGGAAACCCTATACAGGGTCCCTAAGGCTTGTAACCGGACTCTACCGCAATTAACAACAATAGTCATAGTTGTTAGTATTACTTTCTCTATATAAAATTACTTTATCATTTTTAGCTTGCTTCTAGAAATCATAGTAACAAAAAATTTTAATCTATGTAAATACTATAGTCATGTTTTCTAATTTAGAAAAATTAAAATATTCTGATTACTTTGAAGTTAAAGAATATATTAATTTTGTTTTTTATTATATAAAATGTAAAAAACCTAAAAATGATAGGTTCATTTAAATTAAACATTCATTTCTTGTTATTTGGATATTTTTCAGGTTTTAAGAATGACATGTAAAAAATATGTCAGATTTCACTCACGTTTCCAAAACTCCATTTTCACCAGGCATGTGAAGATAGAACACATGGCTTGAATAGAAATGAATAACCAAGATATTTGAAAAGAAGAGGCAGTTACAATATACAGAATCCTGCCAGTCTTGAAAATATGTATATTTCTCCAACTTCAAATACGAAATTATACATATAATAAACATGAGGAATGTTACAAATGATATGTGACTAAATGTTTCACATTAATATATATTATGCCAGTGGTTATATTGATTAAGAATATATACAGATGCTAATTATATTCCGCCTTACACAAAATCACAGAAGCTCCAAGTATGAATAAAAAAGGATTTTATATTAATGCAAATTATATTTTAAAGTTTCTGCAAATATATTCATTATGACTTTTGTTTTTGAGTGACTAGCGATTATATATAATCAAATTTCACATTAATTGCATCTGCACACATGTAATGAGTTGCATCAGTGAAATTGTTGCTTCTACTTTGGCATTTTGTAAAATATTTATGTTTTTATTATGAAGTTAAATACTCATTATATGTGTTTCTATTCAGGAACTCTCAGGGTGATTTTTTCCCTTTAACTACATAGTATCTTCATTTATAGTATAAACCATGAACCTCCAGTTTATGTGTTCAAATGAGTAACTCTTTCAGAAGTCAATATTTAAAATGAATCTATTTAGGGACTTGATATTTGTTCAGACTCTTTTAGAGGTCTGTACTGTGTGGCACTGTGGGTTAATGCACTGGACTGCAAAGTCGCTTTGAACCACACCATCAGCAGTTCAAGCTCACCAGCTGCTCCTTGGAAACCCTATACAAGGTCATTATGGATAGGAACCGACTCAATGGCACTTAACACCAGCAACAACAACAACTTATATATTAGTTTACCAGTACAGTTAAGCAAAACCAATTCCAAAAAAATGTAACCTATTTTCTGTTAGTAAAGTGACCCAGCTCACCTCAAAAGTACTTTCTTAGGTCAGAGATTAACATTGACCCAATGTTTTTAAGCTTTGAAAGCCTTTATTCCTTTTTTGAGAAGTATAAAATTCTTCACTTACCCCTCCCCCTACTAAAATAAATCACTCTAGGCCAGAGAATTCATCTATCTGTTATAAAACCCAAATTAAAAGTTTCTGTGGCACCTTGATTTCTTCAGTTTAAATTTTGTGAACAGTGGCTATTGTTTCACTTTCTAAATATAAAATTATAATATTGAATTTGCTTCTTTTCAAACTACAGTTCTCAAAATTCTGATTTTCGCACATCCAATCACTGGTTTTACCATCTTTTATTGCTTGGATAAGGTTAATATACTTTCTTAAACACCTCACCAGCAAGTAAAACAATGTTTCGGTATGTTTCAAAAACTTAAAATAGTCATACACTTTGATTTAGTTATTCCACGTGTAGGATAAGCACTGGACTGGTAATCAGAGTCAGTAGTTGAAACCCACCAGCTGCTCTTGGAAACCTGGGGTTCCTATGAGTCAGAACCCACACAACAACAACAAACCAAGGCATTATTATAAGGAAAGGTTCTGACAAAGATCAATTCCCAAAGATAAATAGTAGCAAAAAATTTTAATTGACAGTATCTCACAATAAGGTGGTATTAAAACCTGGTACATTAAAAAATTCTGGCATATTAGATAGTTGTTAATCACCATCATGTGTTTCAGGAATATTTAATAGAACATAAAATGAGTATTATAATGTTAGGTGATTAAAAAAATATGTCCAAAATGCAAAAAAAAAAAAAAAAAGTAGCAAATCTTAACTTTCTTTTCCTTTTTACACACACATTCTCTGTTTTATTTACCTAATAGTTAAATTGTAAGTATTTACCAAAATGTCTCAGCATGGGGGTGGGCACATGAGTAAAAATAAACGCCATTTTCAAAGACTGCTTTTGGAACAATCAACTGTGTGGCTTGAAGAGGAAGGGAGAATGGGTAGGGAAACAGTTTTGCAGACGGCTTTTAAAAGTGTACAAATTCTCTTTAATTCCATTTTCCCATGCACTTTTTGAAGCCCCCTCATATGTGAATGTGGTTCCTTAATGTTTGGGAAACCTGAGGAGGATTGGGACTCCAGATTCTAATGCGTGAGCACTGTGCCCCTAGCCACTTATTTCCGTTTAAAAATAAACTCTATATTAACAATATAATCTGCAGTTATAGTGTTTCCAAAGAGCCTGGCTGTTAGGCCTCTGCTCACAGTACTTGCCACCGTATCTTTCAACAACACCAGGCTGAGATTACATCTGTCTAGGACTCCCTTTGGGCCTTGGAACAAGGGACGCCTCCTCCCCATTCTCCCCACCCCCAAAATACTTTACGGAGGCTAGACCCTCGGTTGCTCAGACTTCACTTCCTGCATCCCTCAACTCTGGCCAACTCCCTCCCCACCCTAGTCCCCTGCCTAACTACAATCCCATCCTGGAATTTCATTGGCCGCAGTGGAGAGATGGGAGACCGGACTCTCAAACTGAAGGTTAGAGACGGATCGGTTTACCCTCGGTTTTTACACTCTACTTTTGGCGTCCTGTGTACTAATTTCTGCAAATAAACTGTGATTAACCAAACCAAAAACCAACTGCCATGGAAACTATTCTGAGTGAGCCTGAATAGGATTTCCGAGGCTGTAAATCCTTACAGGAGCAGAAAGCCTCTTCTTTCTCCCTTAGAGCAGGTTTTGGGTTTGAACTGAGGACCTTGTGGTTAGTAGTCCTGTGCGTCTCTTGCAGCGTCACCACAATAACTGCGGAACAAGCGTTATACATTCGATTGAGGCTTTGCGGGGTGGGATGGGGTGGGATGGGGAGGGGTGGGGGTGGAGCGGCAGGGAGGAAAGCAGGCAGAGAAGGATTAAGTCTCCTGGTTTCTAGAGGGCGCCTGCGTGGGACAGACGGCACCTGAGGCAGCTAAGATTGGCTAACCTTTCTTGGGAGAGGGGAGAGGTGGGTCACATTCTCCAGAAAAAAAAAGTATTTCTACACTCCAGGGCCATTCCGTTCCCTCCAACGCCTGGGGAAGACTTAAGAATGTGAAAAGGTCTTATGCGCTCTGTACTTCTCTATCTGCCGACGTGATGCGGGAGGGTGCAGAGAGGGGCAGGTACCACGTTTTTCCAGTAATGATGACTCATAACAGTTTTGTTTTTATAATTGCAGCTTTCTCCATATTTGGAAACTAGTCCCTTCAGTAAGAACATTCAAATAAAACCATTGATTATAATGAAAAAGTCGATAACCATTAAAACAAGATGCACTTTCACAGTTTAAACCAGATGATGAGAAGAAACATTGGGAATAACTGGCGGCTTTGTTCAGTGGGGGAAAGAAAGTCGTTATCAAGAAATCTGATCCCTTCTAGAAAATGCCCACTAATTTGGGAGCTCAAACATTGGGGAAAGCTGCAATATAAAAAGAAAACAGTAATGAAGGTATGAGCCAATATGCCTGGAAAAATGGTACTGCCATTCTCCATAACCTGGATACCCTCAGAATCAATGGGAAAGCACACAACAGCAGTCTATAATTTAAGAGAGGTAACTAAATTAAAACCATCAGCTACAAGATTCATATGGCCAAAGCATCAGAGGTCTTTTTTTGAAGAGTAAGTTGGAATTTATTATAATTATTATTACAAGTAACATAATGGCTTTGTTTGTGACAATGTAAAAGCTTTATCACAAAGGACTTTTAAAATTCTGCCTCAGATAGTTTTCAGTTTTCACCCTTACCTTCAAAACAAAACCTCAATTTATTTAAATAGTTGTGAAGCCCTGTAAAAATCCTTTTTAAGGAAGACAATTATTGTAGAGGTTCAGAATTTTATGAGTAAAGATATGTAATTGCTTAAGTAAATTGAAACTAATAGAATTGTACAACCAGAGCAGTGTAAATAGAAATACCTTTGTCTTCTTATTTTAAGTATGAGGGTAATGATGCGTCAAAGACAGAGACAGAGGTTATCAATAACATTACCTGGATGGTTCCTTTAGAGAGAATTAGATTTATTGGGCATCTGCATTTATTGGGAGAATGCACTTCAGGGGTGCTCGTTGAGACAGGATTTTCGAAACATGACAAAAGTTACTTTTTAACATTTTAGAATCAGTCACATTTTGGGTGCCAAGAAGGCAAAGGGGAGTCTGAGTCATCAGTGGAGGAGCTATTTCAATAAATGTAGGAGATGCTTTATTATTATGAGATTCTTCATCTGAATGGCAATGTGATTTTTAACGATTAGAACATGTTTAGGAGGTGAGAGGACATGACAGAATATGCTTGTGTTTTAATATGCAGCAGTAGATACAAAATTTCCATTTAGTATATCTTTTCTGAAATACCATGCATACTTATTTCTTGTTTACACAAGATGGATCTATAGATGGATGGATGGATGGATGATAGATAGATAGATAGATAGATAGATAGATAGATAGATAGATAGATAGAGATTTTGATGTTTGAAGCCATCATACATCACACACATTGTGCCTCTAACGAGTTCTTAATAGTCCCAGTAGTCATAAAGGGTAGTCTTTATGGGAGCAGATTACTAGGTGTCTATAATATGTTATATATTACAAGTTTTCTTTAATTTTATTATACGAATTAAACATGACAGCTAGTAGAAGAAGAAGAAAAAAAAACAGGTAGATGTGTGTTAGCGATTTAAATTGTGTTAATATCCAATCACATCAAGATTGCAGAACAATATTACCAAAATACAATATCACATTTATGGACAAAATGATGGGTCTTTGTGTCTCTGTAAAAGCATATCAACAGGGATTAAATATATATAGGTCAAAGGATAATTTTCAATTATAAAAATATAATGTCTTCCTAAATACATTAATAAATGTTCTGCTTTTAAACTACAATTTATCTAATGTTATACCAGTGACTGCTGGTGTATTAGGAAAAAAGCTTCTGTTTTGCTTTCTTTTTTCATTTTCACTG